TATTTTAGCTGTAATGAGTAACCGCGATGAGTGAGTACTCGTCGGTAAAGCTAATCGCTAATTGTGACACTCTGGAAGCGAATTTGAAATAGTATGTGCAGGGCTGTTACAAGATTTTCCAAATTTGATCCGCGAAATCAAAAGAAATCCGTGACTTCAAATACTAATCCGCTACAAAAAAAAAATGTTTTCAGTGCTTAAAAATACCAGTTGTACACTATACTACATTGCATTTCAAGCTTATAGCTTATAGCATATTATATTTTAGCCTGCCCTCAACTTAGTGTTCTTTGAAGTACCTTCACATTTTAATTGAAAGCTTTCTATGCCTGTACCATCCTATGCCCAAGGAAGTAGAGAAATTTTCCCACCCGAAAAATTAATAGACCGGACGGGAATCGAACTCAGTCGCCTCCAGCATAGGCTTGCTTTGTAGCTGCGCCTTTACCGACTGAGCTAATGGAGTATCGCTTGTGACCTTTGAAAAAATAAAATAAAAAATAACAATGTATCATCTTCAGTTATTTATGTATAGTATAAATTCTGAGTAATTAGTGAACATAATAAAACACCCTTACATTATGAGATTCTATTGAATAAAACCGGCCTAGATTTGATGAAACATTATTAAAAAAATAATAATGCATTTTCATTTGAAATGCAAATTTTCTTGAAAATTAACCTTTGCGTCTCTGACGTACTTTGCTGTGCTAATTGTTGTAGTTAATTTGACTATAGTTTTCACAATTTTTGATCGATTCAAACCAAACACCCTGAACATAATCGAGAAATTACCAGAGTTTCATAAGTCACACCTGTTGGTCACGTCGCGGTTCTGTATTTGCACGGATATTCCTCCAATCCAATGGAGAGACATTTTCATGATATTTATTTTATTTCTAATATGAACCTTTTCGTTGTCACATCATAACCGAATCGTATATATGTGACTTTGTGGATCATGCACGACTTATTACTATGTATACTGGAAATTATATGGGGGAGAGGTAGCTCATCGATTCTTCCGGTTCGCCTCCTAGCATCGTGCTATAAGGTACCAGGCGATAACCAGGGTAGTGATCGATAGCTCGATGACGTCATTTCGTTGGCGTCTGCAATGGGAAATTCTCATAGCATGCGTTGACGATGGGACGTTGTCGAGTTGTTGAATAGCAACTATCGTGGTAACTCACCGGATACCTGTCGATCTGCCAAATTTGGAAAGACGTCTGCATTGAATTGTCTCATATAATAATATTCCGCCCACTATATCACAAGAAATTGCGAGTAGCTGAGTGGAATGGAGATAAGTTAAGCATTGGGTACAGGACCAAGTCTCCCCTGGGTGGTGCCAAAAGATGAGCGCAATAGAATCATCAAGTTGCCATAAGGCACGGAATGAGACTATTGCATGGCTGGGTAGTCAAAGTCTTCCATTCGTTAGTCATTTCAGGTGGATTAGAACAGGTTTACTGCCGCTATTCGCATAACAGTCCCATGTCCTATGGATTTCATATCTACATGGGACTGTTATGCGAATAGCGTTAGTTTAGGTGGGCGTTGGCCAGATTTGGATTTTTCAGATGTAATCCTGGATAGGACCCTGTCATTAAACGTCGCGTGAAAGTGGAACTTAATCAAGGCCTAAGTACTTTTTCGTAGTTTTTAGTTTTCGGATTTGAAAGATCGTCGGTTACAGGGGCCTGCTTACTGAGCAGAAAAACGCGGTCCCAGGTCCTTACATATCAGAGATTTATGGTAAAATCGCTTGTGTATCGTGTATTTTGCGAAACTCGTTGATGTCGTTGGTTCCGGGTTTGAATGGATACACAAATTTGAGCAACGGTATTATGTGATATGAGGGGCTCGGTGGCCTTAGAGCAACCGTTTTTGCTTACTGAGCAGAACATCATGAGTCTAATCTCAGGCCCATCCACATTCAAGATTCGTCAATCGTTTTATTTGTTAATATGACTACATGGTAATAACAGCAACTCGGTGATTAAAAAGGTGCTCGTCTGCCTAGTGGCAAACGTTTTTGCTTACTGAGCAGAAGACCGTGGGTTTAGTCCCAAGCTCCTTCGCGTTATATGATCGTTAGGAAATCAATTCAGCTTATCGTTTACCAAAACGAACCCTGCTGCAAACCCAACCCTCTTATCCAACATCCCAGTGATTCCTCGTGGAAGTGCAGAGGTGTTCTCGGCTTCCATCAAAGCAAGTGTCATGTCAACACAATCCTTCCCATTCCTTTCTTGACCTGTGTTCGGGCGCGGCCGGCGCTGGTATTGCCTAATTTAAGATCACCAGTTTTTACACATTGAGGATGATTGCTAGTCCCAAGCATCGTCTATTGGTTCTCTGTGTAATTACAGCTGATCTGGCAGTAACAGAGTAGCAACCGTGGGCGGTCAATCAAGCTCAAGCTCAAGCTGTATACTGGAAATTATAGGTTTTCCAAATCGTCCAGGACATCAGTTGATTTGTTCTACTAGATCAACCAAGACTGCAATAATGTCTGTAGTATCGAAAAATGTCCAATCAGATTGAAAGTGTCTATGTGGATCATGCATGATCTATTTCCGAGTAATCCAGATGTTGTAGGTTCTTAAAAATCGTCCTGGAGTTCACATAATTCAATCTACTAGATCAACCGAGATTGGGACAATGTCTTTAATATCGAAATATTTCCAGATAGATGTACAGTGTCTATGTGGATCATGCATGAACTATTGCCATGTATATCAGATGTTTTAAGTACTCCAAATCGTTTTGGAGTTCAGATAATTTAATCTACTAGATCAACCATGACTGGGATAAATTCTGTAGTATCGAAATATGTCCAAACAGGTTCATATTGTCTATATGGATAATGTTTAATTATTTCCACGTAAACCAGATGATCTAGGTTCTCCAAATTGTCCTGTAGTTCAGATGTTTTGTTTTACTAGATCAACAAAGACTGGGAGGATATCTGTAGTATCGAAATATCGATATGGAAATCCTAGAACATTTGGCATACACATTTGAATAAGTTTTGGGTGATCTAGTAGAAAAATAATCTGATCTTCAGAATGATTTCGGAACCTATAACATCTTGTATACGTAGCAATAGGAGATTTTCGCGACTGAAAGTTCAAATCCGCAAATGGTCGAATTTTAGTAAAAATGTGAATGACCTAAACCCACCTAAACAAACAATTTATGCAAAGCTTCATTCAATTCGAAGAAGGTCGAGTTTTATAGATTCGTAATTTGGCTCATCTTTCCAATTTTGCAAAATAGTTAAATTTGAGAGTGATCAAAGCAAACTTCAAATAGCGTAGCGAAAGCTGGTAGCGAAAGCTGGTAGCGATTCATGCCACCAACAAGGATCATCAGGTCAGCATCATTTGTTCTGTTAACCTTGCATAGCCCGAAGCACGCACCAAACATCAAAGACAAATTCGCTAACAATTTTGAAAAGTCAGTGCACCGATGCGTCGCCCGGTTGATGTTGTTGATGAGTGCTTTATGTGTGTTTTCAAATTGAACTACACACTTAGAAATCATTACCGACTTCGGTAATTTTTTACCGAACATTCGGTAAAACTTTGACCCTCATTTCAAAAGCTGTTTCACAAAATTTTAATTTCAAAATACTGTTAGCCTGGTTTAAATAATCAAGTATTTTCATTGCAGGGAAGTTTTCCTTGTTTTGAAACTTTATAACTAATGAATTAAAATGCCTGATTTTTACCGAACAGTTCAGCTGTTGAAAGCTTGGTAAAAATGACCGAAGTCGGTAAGAATTTCTAAGCGTGTACTCTGTAAGCATCAGGCTTGGAAATGCTCATTACAGCTAAAATGCTACTTTTCAAAATTATGAAACTATGAGATATTATTATAATAATGTTTATATGTAAGATCTAAGAATATGAGGTAAAGTTTGTGTAGGTATAAAACCTGAAGGTCTGTAATCATTTCTAAGCGTGTAAGATGAAGAAAGTAGGCCGATATTAATCCATGCACCTGTAATGTTTTCATCTGTCAATCGTAAGTTTTGGAATTGCTTATAGTGGCAATTTTTAACGAAATGGTAAGCGCGTATGTTGACACAGGCATTTTGTTAAATATTGCTGTTGTTGCAATATGACATCTACGTATGCGAATTTGTTTTCAAATTTGGTATACATCGTTCAACGCATTTTTACACAATCGATGGAATGACTTATGTGCAGCTGTTGCAATGCAAAATTCAACAAGTTTGCATCGTCTCATTTTTCACGACTCTTCCTTACTTGAAGTCTGTTAGGATCCACTACGCCCTACGGAAAATACCAAGCACCATCTTCCTTCAAATCCACTTTCCCTAAGGATCAACAATCCTTTGTTCCGCTGTGATGATGCAAACTAATAATTCTCTTACATGCACCCGAAAGTGAAACAAAATAGAACAGTGTAATTAACATACACTCAATTGGCGGAGAGCACAGCTCTGAAAACAAAAGGTTGACGACAATAACGTTTAAATCTTTTGTGTAAAACGCACAGTCGAGCCTCACACCAGCATGAACGCTGGCAGACGATGACAACACAACGAGCAGACCCACCACGCGGATGTAGCCACACGATGCGAATAAGACGAGACGAGCTTCCACAGATTCCGCACATAAAATGATATGTTTTTCCTCAATTCTTCTTTTAGCTCGCGCTTCTGCTGCCTTCTATTGTACACAGTTAATCATTGCTGTTGCATTTTTATTCTTTACACACACCTAAACGGCGATTTAAAAAAAAAAAAACGTAGATACAAACGAAAGCGAATGGGAGATAATTTCCATTTCCATATTCACGAGCCACCGTCGACGTTGTGTGTTGTAGGATTGTTGCTTGGTTAGTTGGTTGGTGGTTTGCTTGCACAACTGATAATAACGTGTTTCATATTTTTTTTTCTTCTGACTAAATAACTTCTCTCAAACAGACTCTAGGCATAGAATGAATTGTGTAAATACACTCACACTTGATAAACACACACGGTTAGCACGTTGCAATCTCACACTGGGCTAGCGAAAAGGACCGAGGATGAAACGGGAAAACCACACTAAATCTCGATCTCGATTTTTTTCAAACGGTCGCTTTTCACTCTCTTTCAGGTAAATCCACACGGGTGATGTTAAGTTATTGAAGAGTAACTTTTCACAAAACACTGGGATCGAGAAAACGGACGCGCACACGATACCGACACTATGTATGTTTCATGCAACACTCGTCTTCACAGAAGCATGTGAAGAGACTGTATAGTAATAGTGAACAGCCCGCGCGAATTTTCACATCCAACCAGGTGGATACAAACTATGTATGCAGAGAGCCCTTTTACACACGTCGCGATGACCCACGTCCAACGAGAAGCACGACTGAAGTAGTACTGAAGCACATGCGTTCGACACAAATCGAGCAGTCCAAGTCTCTTTCGTAAGCGGCTGCTACCTGTTCAGTTGGAGCGAGGTAGGCGGCAGCACACGCGAAGATGATGATTGCAGTGAACACCAATATGGAAGACGGAAACATTTTCGCTCTGAGTAAAAGCTCGAAAGCTAACGTACTCGACTGAAGAAGACTCTCGCTCTCGTTTGGAATCGAATGAATCTTATTGGGTTTCATTTGAGACAGGATTGATACTTTCGAGCACTATTCAAACGTTCATTGAATATTCACCAGCACGCGGTACCGACTTTTCCAGCCATGCAGTGTCGGGATGGAGTAAAACAGCACAGAATTTTATCTAAACTGAAGAGTCAGAGTCGTTTAAGCTAAGTATATAGCCATCGTGAAATGCTTCAATCCTAAGCGGAAGCTCGTTTTTGCTGTAATCTAGGCCCAGAACAATTTCCTATTGGCGAATCAAAGTAAAGCCAAAACTGGCTATGCGACAACTAGTTCTAAGATTTGCAATTACAAAAATGATGATGTAAAACAAAGAAAATGTCATATAATTTGACAGATATTAAAACGTCATTACCATTTTCACCCAGTGTGAGTCAATCGTCACTTTGATTCTTCAATAGACTTGTTTGATTTCTTTGTTATGGTTCCACCGCCATGAACCCCTGGGTCTCCCTTTACACACTTCATTCAAATCACCGAAGTCGATTGTATTTTAACGGGTTTTTTAACAGCAGAACAAGTCGGTAAAAGTTTAAAATGACCGTTACACGCAGTGTTGCCAGTATTACAGATTTATCTGGATTTTCCAGATTTTCAGTCATCTTGCCAGACACACAGACAGATCACGTTTATTTCCAGATTTTTTTTAATATGTTCCAGATTTTCCCAGATTTAAATGTGTTGCTGTAAAAATATCACTGCAATTCATGGACCCTCTTATCAATAAATAATAGGCCAAACTTACTACTTTAATCTTTTAAATTTGTCGAACCTCTTAACGGAATCCCTTTATGAAGAGCTTTGAGTGTGTTGGTTTATTTTCTTTAAATTCCGTTATAATTGCTTATCTTTTGACAGATACGCGTATTTCGTCTACTACTTGCAGACTTAATAAGTGCCAAGTGTCAAGTACTTGGTGTTGACGAAATACGCGTACCTGTCAAAATATAAGCAATTATAACGGAATTTAAAGGAAATAAACCAACACACTCGAAGCTCTTACTACTTAAATTATTAAAGGCCATCAACGTTGGACATTGTTGCAACATCATACATGGAATTGTTACAACATGTTTGCAATGGGTTGCAGAATCATGAAAATTGAGACATTCTCTAAAGAAATCTTCAAATTTTTAAAAATATCGAGCCAGGATTTTTATTTGGAGTTTTTGTTTAGATGTTCGCTATAATTATTTTTTTTGGAATCCTGGATATATCAAAATAAAAAAAAAAATCAATATGGAGGAATTTTCCTAATATTGAAACATAGAGGAATCGAAACCTGTTCAGGATTGAAAACAATGAATTGAGCTTTGAAAAATTAGCAAGGCTTTTTAATCTAGACAACCACCAGGACTTTGAAGTATGTTCGTGATGTTTTCGAGAATAATTGAGTAGATTTTTAAGGAGAATTTTAAAGGAATCTGATATTGTTTTGCTTTTTTTTATTAAAGTACCTGTGAATATTGAGTTACCTTAGCCGTCTGAAATACTTTAGAATTCTGAATTGCCCTAGATTTCAGAATTGTAAGGTAATTCTGAAAATAGTTTACAGTGAAGTGTGCGTATGCAGTCTGTGCAAGCTCTGGTTGAAAACGGTGTCAATTGTCTTTAACAAACTCAGATGACAATTGCATGGAGATTTTGTAAAGAAAGGAAATAGTTAGAATTTGGAAGAGAAATCATAGAAAATTCTTAAGATGAAACTTAAGGAGAATGCTGATACGAACCGGGTGAATAATTTTAATGGAATTCTGTCCAATGTTTCTATGGAGATTCATTTTTATCAAATTTTAAGAAATCTGGCAATTTCTGGGAGACTTTCAAGGCCATTTTGGCAAAGTACCTACTTGAGCACTTAGGAAATACTGAAGAGGATTTCAAAACAATTATGATCTTACCTACAAAGCAGTTCAAAGGATAAGCCAATTCTTGGACATTATAACCAGTTTGAGGGAATTGTGAAATGAGAGAGCGATTTATAAGAGATTACAAGAGATAATGCTAAGCACTCTTAGAATGTTACTGAAAAAAGTTTGGATATTATCAAGATTAGTTTAGGGGTATCCAGAAAAGAAGTATGTTGAAATTCTACGATTATTCAAACTGAACGCTGAAAAAAGGACGAAAATATTATGTGAAGAGTTCCAAGTAAATTCATACTAACAAATAATTTAATGATCTGGGACCCAGGAAAAATATAAATTCCAGAATTTAGAATCATTTCAAGACGCTTTCAGAATTTTATTTTAGTTATATCATAAAATTATTCTTTGGCATAAAAATATCTGTAATGGTCATGTGGAGTTACCCTAATTTAGGTAAACTGTATGTGAGTACCACGATGTTAGGCTTTGATTCTCACTTCAGGCAGGAGAATTTTAGTTTAAAATAAAATTTCCTATTGGTCTACCGGGTGTTGTGAGTTGTATGGTGTCAAGAATTAAATTGTAGGTCTGATCAACCTCAGGGTAATATTAGAATTATTTAGAACTAATAATAAAGGGTGTCCACGATGAAATTGCCACACACAAAATTGATTCGCAAAATTCGAGTTTTCATCCGATTGCCATCACATTTTCAGGGATTGAGAAATAACTATTAAACTTCATTTTACCATTTTACTCGTATTCTATTTACAGTCCATACGCAAATGCCCGCACCTTGGCCTTAACCCGAGGGGCACGCAGAACCTATACTTGGATGCGTTGTACTCAAATCGTTTGCAGGTTCATGGTTGTAATTATGGACTTAAAAATGTACTTATATGTAATTAACGTACTCAAAATAAGTACAGAAGTATTTAACTGTACTTTAAATACATTAATGTTATCAAAGCTGTACTTTAATTACTTCCAGGTATTTATACCGGACTTAAGTACTCAAGTGTTTTTAAGGTGTACTTAAAGTACTTCTGATTATAATTATTGTAATTAAAGTAATTAAAATGTAATAACGAATATGGTTATTGTGAATAGCAGTAGGAATAAATGACAAGCAAAATAATAGTAAAAGAGAAACAACAAATAAAAGTAAATTTTAAAAGCTTTTATCACGGAATCAAAATGGTCTGCATAGAAGAGGCGGCGGAAGTGGGTAGGACGGGTTCAAGACATAAAAATACTATCAGCTCATAATACACCCACATATTTAAGCTATTATGTGCCTTTGGTGTTCAGTTTGTGCATAAAGTTATTCTTAGGCTGATGCACATTTAAGCGTCAACATAAAATTGCGTGTAATAGATTTGCAAACAATGACTTACAAGACGGATTTTTAATTTCCAAGCAGTATAAAAAAGGGATGTCAACAGAATATTTTTGCGCTTACACCGCCTCGCTTGTAAGGGCCTGTTCATAAACTACGTAGACATTTCTTTGGGATTATTGACCCCCCCCTCCTCCCCCTGCGTAGACAATTGTCCATACAAAAAAATTAAAATTTGTATGGGCCGTGGATAATTATCACCCCCCCCCCCCCCCCCCTAAACTGTCTACGTAGTTTATGGACAGCCCCTAAACAGGCCTTATGCAAGGTAGGACAAGCACCTAATATGGGACAGATATGTGATTATGGGTAGTACCGAGTTTAAAGGCAGTTCGTAAGGTATATTGTAATCCCTCTATTTATGCGATGGGTGGTAATGTCCACCCACCGCTGTTTTTCGGATTTGTGATTAGTGTCAACCATAAACTAGATTTATAAAGAAAATCAGCTGAATAGGTTGAAGGAAAACAGAGAAATAGTAGTGGGCGGACGGTGCCACCCACTCCATAATCTTCCATACACATTTTTAGATATTTAAATGAACCATGGAGACTTGTCAAACCTCCCCCCTTTCATTATAACTTATTCCTACCCTAGGTAAGTCACCAAAGTAAAAGAGTTCCAGATTGCCACCGGGTTAGATAACATAGAGTAAAGAAACGTTAACATTTTCGAGCTGTCATTTCTTTGTAGATCTTAGCATGTATTAAACGATTATACGGTCTCGTAAACGATAACAAAGCAACATATTAAAATTTAATCAAACCTGCTTAGGAACATCTACATCTGGATGCGGATCCATTATTTCAATGGATGTTTGTACTTTGGCTGCAAAGCTATCCTCACCAAGCGAGTCATCAGGTTCTTTTACAAGTTCTGATTCATGATCCATGTTCTCGGTGTACTCAATCTCCTCGATCGCATCTTCGTCTTCAATGGCTCTGCTTGAAAAAACACCATCCTTTCCATCGACATCGAATGCGTAGATGATTTCCTTGTTACCTGGTACCAGTTTCGTTACTTTACTGATATGATCGACTGGAATCACCACCATCGAAATAGTCGTTGAAGTGGGAGCAAGAATCTGTGATGAAGGCGAGGACGCGGGCGAGGATGAAGGCTCTTTGTTTGGTCCGTAGAAGAAAGACGTTCGTATGTCTTGATTTCTGGTATACGGCTTCTTTACGCATGCATGCGCTCGGGAAAAATACTTATGAAAGTTTGACAAGGAGGGGTAAAACACGCCGGGCTTCACCTCGTTTAGCGAAACGCTGGATTCCTGCTTGCAAACGAAGCAGCCAAGACGAGCAGTAGGCGTTTTGCCGACATCCTTATGTACCGTTACGACAATTTCTGACGGATCGACAGAAACTCCAAGGTTACCCCGTTCGTTCAAGTGATTAGCTGTAAGCTCAGCTATCTTGCTCTCATACGGTGCTTTGTCGAAAGTAGCATCTGTTGTTGGTTCCGACTCGCCA